TTATTTTTAAATAAGCATACATATCACCAGAAGCAGCAAATCTATTATATATATCTACATTATTTTCCACATAATTTGTTTTTATTTCATTAGTATTAATGCCAATTGATCTTCTGACCGAAGGATCATCCAGGAAATTTGCGTATTCTGCAAATGGTGTGCCCATGCCATTTGGGGCACGAATATCATATTCATCAACGCCAGAGCTTTGATTAAAAATTTGAACATAAACATCCCAGCAAGTTGAGTTGGCGATGGTGCAGTCATGTGTTGTATTTGTTCGGTAGCATTCATTAACTATTTTAATTAAAATTAGTTGTCATTTTCGAAGTTTAGCATAATTTATAATATAAAGAAAAAACATACTATTCTGTTGGCATGGTATCCATTTATTGCGCATCTCCTCAACTAACTGTGGACTTATCAAGGACTTATTGTCTGTATATAAAAAATAATCTTTAAGGTTTATATCAATAAAAAATTTTTAATATATTGAAAATTTAATACATGTATTGTTCTCTATATAATTGACATAAGATTTCCTATAAAGTATCAAAGGTTAGTGTATTCCATTAAAAAATCTCTAGAATAATTGTATGTGTGAATAAAAAAAAAAACCTACATTGTAATCAAAGGATTAACCCAAGGCCCTCCAATTCCACAAGATTTAAGATTAATTAGTATTTTATCTTTCATTTTCTCAGTTTTGATTAGATTATTATTTTGAACAATAAGTTTAGCCATGATTGGAACTGAAAAGTTGAAAAAAACCATTAAATAATAATATTTTATAAAAAAATAATTCATACTGTAATATAACGGGTATGGATGTTATTTTGAGTTCTAGTTTACTAGTAGGTGACATACCATAATGACCTCCATAAGATTCACTAAATAGATTTAAATCTAAAGTTGCATATTTCGGAAATTTTGTAAAGAATTTTTGTAAAAATTCATAAATATCCGAGGCACATTGTTCTGTTGTGTTCACTAAACGTGATCCATATGAGAATCCTGCGCCAATTGGCTTTTAGTTAAAAAATTAGTTGATATTTTATATTTTAACTGTTATTTAAATTTTAATTCACAGAATGACACATGTCGTCTTCATAATAACACACCATAGAGATTAAAAAAAAATTTTTAATTCACCTCATCGATAAACAACAAATTCGACACTTCATTCCAACTATTTGGAGGCTTTATGGTTTTGGTCGTATTTGCAATTACCTTACAAGGTCTAGCCTCCTGGAATAATGCAAACATTGAAGAAAAACCTGGCCCACCACTAAGCCATATTGTTAATGGTGAGTTTTTTGGATCATTACGAGATTCAAAAAACCAAAAAAACATATTTGCATCTGGCGCAATGTTTATATATCCAGAGTACTATTTTAAATTGATAAATGGTTTGTTTAATTGTTTGATTTTAGATGTATCTTTGTGTAATACCTGTTCAACTTCCGAGTCACATAAATTGCTTGAAACAATGTGATCATCTAGAACTGCAAATATTAATGAAGATTATTATAATTCTGGATACATAAAATGAAATATTTACTTACGCGAAATTGCTCTCGATATCATATCATTTTTAAAAAAAGAGGAGATAGATAATATTAGGCAAGTAGTTAGTACAAATCTTGAATAAAATTTTTTAATCAACATTATATATATTTTCAAAATTTTATTTAAAAATTTGGAAATCTCGATATAAACTTCTCTTCCTTTTTTATAAAAAAAAAAATGCACCTCAAAATTTTTAATTTGTATTAAATAAGTATATGGTTGTCTAAATACGTACCATTGTAACGAACTATTTTTTATTTATTTTTTTATGTTGTAAATATTTTTAAATCATGTATACAAATAAGGTTATCTAAATGAGGCTTGGTGGCTTAAAACAAAATTATGTGGAAAATAATGTAGATATATATAATAGATTTGCTGCTTCTGGTGATATGTATGCTTATTTAAAAATAA